GGCCAGGTGCCCTGGTCGGGGTCACTCAGTGCTGTTCTTATAGACAAGGCCCTGCCCTCCCGGCTCCTCCAGGGAGGCCTCACCAAGACTGTGTAATGATTACATCTCGGGGTATAATGGGGCTGGAACCAGCTGGATGACGCCCTGGGAGAGACAGGTGACCGTGGTGGGAAGACCCCAGGCTGGGCCTCACTGCCTCTCGGTGTGACCCGGGCCCATCCTGTTCCCTGTCGCTGTGCTCAGGGCAGCCGTGGGCCGTCTGCAGGCCACATCCAGACGCCTGATCATGGAGCTGGGGAACGAGAAAGACCTGCAGTCGAAAGTCACGGCCATGCTGAAGGAGAGCGAGTAAGTCAGGCGCAGAGCCAGGCGCGTCCCAGAGCCCCCGGGGCTCGTCCCGTGTGAAGGTGAAGAGTCAGATCTGAGTGGGTTTTGCACTTGACTTTCAAGCTGCCTAAAGATGGAAAGGCAGCTTGTAAAATGAGATAGTTAGAAGTACGTGTTCATATTTTAAGTGTTTTCGGTTTCTCCGTGTTCGTCTACGTTCTTAGCAGCTGGGAAGTCAGTTTCTTTTCCCTCATTTCCCGTTCTTTGCGCTTCCACGGAACAAGCGGCACGGTTGTGTTTTCATCTGTGGCTCTGGCGGCTGGCTGGCTGGCGCAGGGATCCAAATCCCTGACCCTGGTGTTGTAACAGAGGCGTCCGGCCGGTGGAGCCAACCAGCCAGCAGAGACAACCAGCCAGCGGAGCCAACCAGCTGGCAGAGACAACCAGCTGGCGGAGACAACCAGCCGGCCCCCGCCACACCGTTTCATAACGTGCTTCTCAGCCTCTGGAGAAGCACCCACCAGGAGAGAGAGACATACCTGCGTTGCGTTACATATTTGCTGCTCAGAGTCTGGGCTGCGGACGTCGGCGTTGTCCCTGGCCAGCGTGACCAAGCAGGAGCTCTGCCTGGGGTATCGGCAGCTCACAGAGGGTGGGGAGGACTCAGCCCACACTGGGAAGGACCCTCCAAGCGACACAGACCTGCGAGCCCCAGGGGCTGCTGCCCCAGTGGCACAGATTGGGGGTGAGCTTTCCAGCCTGTGCAGGCCAGGGGGACACATGGAGACTGGGAGCAGGCACTGCCCGCCCTGCCTGGAAGAGCGAGGCAGCGGCTCTGCCTGTGCTGCAGCTGCCGTCCTGTGACCAAACGCACAAGTCACTGCTCCCACCATGGGGGAGGACCTCCCAGGTCCTGGAGGAAATGGTGTCAAAATGGGGCTGATATGGGTTCCCCTGCTGTGGGCTGGGCATTCAGCAGCGGCAGTGGACAGGCCAGCCTTAGAGGGGCAGGAC